ACATCTCCCCCTCCAAGGTCCCTATTCCACTTCCTTGTGTCCCATCACCAGAGACAGGAGATCAACACCTCCCCCATCAAGGTCCCTCTTGGAAGAGCATTGACCAGATGCTTCTTGACATCGGAGAGGTTTGGTGCCATGACCACTTCCCTGGGAAACCTGTTCCAAGGACCAGCCACCCTCTTGGTGAAGGACCTTCTCCAACCTGAACTTCCCCTGATGCAGCTTCATTCCACTTCCTTGTGTCCCATCACCAGAGAGAGGAGATCAACATCTCCCCCTCCAAGGTCCCTCTTGAGGAAGGTGTAGACTGTGATGAGGTCAGAAGATGTAGATTTTAGTCAACAGAACAGAAACAGACTGTAGACAGCTCCCACCACCAAAGGAAGCTGCTCTTTCTCCTGTCTCTGGAAGCCACCAACCCCACCTGTGGTTGTGTTTCCTTAGAAGAAACCACCTTCCCCTAATCAAACAGGAAAAGTAGGTGATGGTCAGACCCAAAACTTACTATTCAAATGTACTGATAAAGACTTAATTTAAAGGGAAGAAAACCATCTTCCTCCAACAGCAGCCTGAGAGTATCAACATTTTCTTAAAAAGCTACAGATTTGCTTTCTCTTTTCCAGTCTTTATGATGTTTTTTCCCTCTTCCACATCCGTTTATTGATGTACAATTTTTTAAAATACGCAACATTAGCACACTTCTCCTAACCAGTTCTCTATGTTCATCTTTGTTTACAGAAGCTGGAGAACAGGCCAAAGACTGAATTCTCTACTAGCCCTTGGACATGCAAAGGTAAATGTAACATTTTGCTTATTGAGACTGAAAAAGGGAGAATTTCTACCTTTTCTTGCCTTTGAGATGCTCACAGTAGTAAAATATTCCAAATCCTGGCTAGCTGAAATACCTAGTCATTAAATCTTTATAAGACTGTAATAATTAGGTAAGATTTCATAATATATTAAATGTTACTCACCCATAAATTTAACATGCACTCCGGTAGAATTCTTGGTTCTTTATACCATATGCCAGCAGATGATTTTTGACACGATTTTAAAGCTCAAACCGTCCGATATATTCTTGCTGGTTTACTCACAGCGTTGCCTGACATATTTATAAATTGTGATCAAAAGCATTTCAGGTACCTGAAAAGAAATTGAAAAAGGAGTGCAAACTTGCCTCTTCAGCTGTGGCAGAAAAATCCATCTTTTTTTTTTTTTTTTTTTTTTTTTTGTAAAAAGCCTGTTGCGCAGATAAAAATGGCTGGGGCTAGAACCTGGGGTTTGTTGGGGAGAAACTTCTCACCGATGAGCTGTCTCTATTGATATTCAAACAGAACTTGCTCAGATTTGACTGATTGGAATATTTGAAAATATTAATATACACATTTAATTTTTGTGATGAGGTCATTAGAGGCATTTCTGAAGCACAACACCCTGCACAGGATGTCTATCAGCAGCTACATGTAATATTAGCAGAGCTCTAAGCCCTTAGAAGTAGGATTTTAAGAGTCCAGGCAGAAAAAAAGGTCGTTATATTAGAACAAAGCAAGCGAGTTTTAAGGTTGTAGCCGTGTTGGTGGGTGGCAGCGAGGGCTGCATTTTTTTTATTTTTTTTATTTAGCAATCTCAATTTGAAACACTTTTAAAACCCCAAATGCCAAGTGTGAGATCACAGGGATTTAAATGATGAAAGAAGCCAAATGAAGGCAAGTAAACAACATAAGATGAAATTTTAGAAAACACAGCTTTGCTTTCTCCGCCTTTCTCCTTTCTGTTGTTATACCTATTTTTTCTCCCTTTTTTTTTTTTGTTGCTTTTTTTTTTTTTCTTTAAATTTTAGCTATTTCTTCCTGGTCTTCTTGTCTATTTCTCAGCTATGCCTCCAGAACACCAAATAATATTCTGCTTTCATAACTCAGGTGAACAGTCAATATATTAAGTAGCCACTAAATTCATTGTTTGCTTGACTCAGTCAAGTCAAAGTCCTGTTGAGGTGGATCATTTTGATGGGAGCAGATATAAAATGCTAGGATATGATCAGTCTTGGCAGAGGCTTTGCTGGTTTTAGACAGTGCTTCCTCTTAGAATCGATATAAAAATAAAAGAAACTCAGTTTACCCATAAATAAATGGCTTTTTAAGGTCTGCGAAACAGTTGAAATTTCAGATAGTGTATTAGAGTATAAGCATCAAACTAAATTCTGCTGAAGTCCCCGAGGGTCTTCTCATTGACTTTGTCAAGTGTTGTTTTAGGCCCATCCTTAGTAAAGGAGTATCTTTGTGAATCTCCCATATTTCAAAAATACAGTAGTTTCTTCCTGTGGAAGACACTCTGTGCTCTCCTGAGCGAATACTCGCTGAACACTGAGAGATGACAGGCTAAAATCACAGTCGGACAGTCAACTTTTTAAATATTGCTCACCGAACGCTACCTGCAGTTGGTGGCACCCTCTCAGGCGTGGAACCCATCTGTCATTTGCATTTCATTGACCTTGAAGCTTCCTGGTTGGAGATGAAGCTTCACCTATTCAAAGCAAGCTGTTTAAAGCACTCAAATAGATTTTTTTCTTTTTTTAAAGTGCTTTCCACTTTTTAATTTCCTACTGTTCTTCTTCCATTGAGAAAGAGCTGCCTGAGCCCAAAGGGATTTCCACATCCAGCTTTCATGCTTTTTGTTGCTCCATGGCAGTGACCGCTAGATTGGCAAATAGAATAATTGCCTTTGAGAGATTCCTTTAAGGATGTTAAGAGCATGAACTCCATTCTTTTTAAGTAGCTTCTTAAATAAACGCTTCAAAACAAAGTCAACTATTGATCCAATTCTTTGAATAAAAAGTTCTCCACGTTTGACAATAGGATTTACTATTGAAGACAAAATGTACATTAATCTTTCTAGTTTATTGTCTTCAGTTGACAAAGGTAGAATTACAGAGTTGCTGCACAAAGAAAGATTTGTACCCTCTGTTCGAAATGACAAATCTACATAAATTCATTGACCGACTTAGGATAAAAGCAATCCTTACATCCCTGCGTCTTGTCACCTGAAGAGAAATAGGGATATAATCTATGCTTTATTCTAGTAATATTCTTGAATAACTGTTTATTCTCTAAGCACATTTGTGATTTCCTTGTTTGTTTATTGTAGTGCTGTGAGTATTATTATTATTTTTTTTTTCCCTGGAAGTGAAAAAGAACATCCAGAATGTCTATTTACTGCCGGGGGAGATGGGTGGCAATTTTATCCAGGAAAAAAACCAACAAAACAAATATCATACACACACACACACACCCTCCCCGTTAGAATATCTGGAAGAGTTTGTACCAACTTCCCAGATTTTACACTTCTGCCACCGGGACATCTAATTTGAACCCTAATTTCTGCAGGGGGAGGGATGGGGGGGAGAGGAGAAGAATGTCAATATTCTGTCTGTCACGTGTGTGTACAGCGGGATAAAAACAGCCACTGTGGGACAGAAACGGGTTGGGTTTGTGGATGGGTCTTTTTTTTTTTCCTTTTTCTTTTTTTTTTTTTTTTTTTTTTCCACTGGCAGCTGCAATGAGGAGCTGAGCGAGGCCGGATACTGCAGGAGCAGTGAAGGGAATCCTCCTTCCCGCAGTCTCCCCTCCGCAGCTTTTTTAACTTATGCTCCCTTTTTTCCTTGCCATCCTCCTTAGTGGTGGCTCTAAAGGAACGGCCAGGTGAGACCCACCGTGTTCCTCCACTTGCATGTGGATTTGGGGAGGGGGTGTGTGCGTGTGTGTGTGTGTGTGTGTGTCTGCTGGAAGGAGGGATGGAAAAGGGCAATAAAAGCAGCAAACAAAGGTTGAGCCGCCGGTGAGGCGGAGGTGAAGCAGGGCTTGGTGTTCCCCCGCCGGTGGGGCAGGAGCTTCATCCCAAGGGTAAAACCCGGAGCAGGCAAAGTCCCCCCCTGCGGCTCGGGCTCTTCTCCTTGAAAACCGGCTCCGTTTGTCCCTTACCGGCGACACACGTAGGTGAAGACACACGGTACAGAAGGCACCCAACACGCCACGGGGCGAGCGGGGGACCCTGCGGGCAACCCACCCCCGCTGCCGCACCATCCCTCCCTCCATCCCTCCATCCCTCCATCCCTCCATCCATCCCTCCATCCCTCCATCCTTCCATCCCTCCATCCCTCCATCCCTCCCTCCATCCCTCCCTCCATCCCTCCCACCCGGGGCACCGGCTTCCTCCTCTTGCGACCCGCGTACATGGCCGGGCCGGGGGGCAACGCTCCGAGCATCCCCCCGGAGAGCCCCCCGAGCGGGTCCGCCGCCCCGCAACCCACC